GGAATGTGAGGTTGATTGAATAGAAGACAGACAGCTCAGACCATAAGAATATATCCATTTGACCCTGACCTGTTACCTGAGTTGACGTTTTGCAAAGTGTATCTTGTCTTCATCTCCTCTCCCTTTGAGATGATTCCCGCTTTCTATGAGGAGCACAGTCACATGACTCCAGGGAGGCCAGAAGCTGAGTATTTCACAGCTCTGAGAAGGTTTTGGCTTTGAGGAATGGAGCCCTTCCCAGCCAGCCTTGCTGGTTCCACCCGAGGCCACTGGTTTGTGAAGAAGGTACAGGCGCAGCTCCAGGTTCTCATGGTCACCGGTTCCCAAAGCTGAGGTTAAACCTGAGTTTTTTTCTGAGTCTTCTTGGAGTCCTCTCTCACCCTGATTACCTCCTCTCCACTGGGCTGCCGCCATTCAGTTCTGTTCTTCTCACTCAAAGGACAGAGGAGCTCCCGACCCAGAAGTTTCCCAGGCTTGTTGCCCTGGCAGCGGGGCTTCTGTTCTTACCCAGATGGAAACAACTATTGTGCTTCCCTGCTGGCCTGGCCACAGGCCTGTTCTAGACCACCGCTCACAAACACCCAGTTCAAGGAACCACAGAAGCTGCAGATGAGGAGAGCAAACACCCTTCCCCCACCCTACAAACGGCTCTTTGTGCAGCCCAGAGTGCTCCAAGTCCTATCACTCCGGGCTTTGCATAGCTGTGCCCGCGTTCTCCTGCCAACGTCTCTGTGTGTCATTATCTGAAAATAAAGCGGAGCAGAGGGGAAGGTGCTGTGCCCCCCCCCACCCCGGTCTGAAATAATACACCAAGGGCCGTTTATTCCCCAACACGTGGAATCAATGCTGAGGAGATTCTCTCTGGAAGCCGAGGTGAACCAGAGAACCCCCTTCAACCTCAAACATGTAATGACTCAATGCTTGATGTTTAAAGTGCTGCTCTCTGGTCGCCGAGTGTCATTTTTAGTCTGAGTACCACGAACTGCTGTTGAAATAATTAGCCCTGTATGTGTTCCTTTCCATTTTGTTCCTGGACATGGGTCAGGGAGCTCAGCTGTCTTTGGCCTTCTGTGGGAAATAAGCCGTGATGATAACGACACCAAACATGAATTTTTTGTTTGTTTGTTTTATTTTTGAGATTGTAGTATTTCATGCTCTCGGAATTCCTTGGTTGCCCATAGTTCTTTGTGTAGTGTTAGAGCCTTGTGGGTTTTCCCTTCCTGCTTTGTCATATTGGTTGCTATTATCCTTTTCAGCTCATATTAGGTGGTCACGTTGGTGGGAATTTATGGGCACAGGCTCTAACATCACTAGGAGACAGTCTCACAGCAAACTCCCTGACCTCTGGTCTCTGGCTTTTACAGTCCTTCACCTCCTCTTCTGCAGTGTTTCTGCTGAGCCTGGGCTTCAGGAGGTGATTTATGGATGTATCTGTGGGACTGGACTCCACAACTCTGAATTTTGATTGGCTGTGCTTCTGTGTTTTCAAGGAGACGTTTCCTTGATGAGGCAATGAGGACTATATTAATCTGTCAATATAGGAACAAATATTTAGAGAATATATGTTGGGGGATTTGTTAAAGTTGTAGGTTCTCATTCTAGATCCATGGCTTCACTAGCCCTGGGTAGTCGGCTAGGATTCCTGTATCAGGCAAGATTTCCTCCTTGAGTGGATCTTAAATCCAATTAGAGAGTTGTTGGTTACTGACAAGGTATGTGCACTGCTACTGGACCCTTGGGGTTATTGTGCCATACTTGCTGGTGGTTCACAGATGTCATAGCTGAAGATGACAGTTCATTGTTTAGCTCCTTTGGAAGCTTGCAAGGCACCTTCTGGTACCATGAAAGCTAGTCCTTAGGGAGGGGGGACCTCTGGTCCCTGTGTCTGAAGCAATAGAAATTTATCTGCCACCTCTGGGGGGCCACCAAGGACAACAGCAGTACTCGACCATGCCCAACCGTGGGGGGGTGTCGAGAATTTTTGTCACTAATGTTTTGGGAGTCTCTTGGATAACCCTGACCAACAACTCAAGGCTTCTGTTGCCTGGTGTTAGGGTTTGTATTAGATGGTTTGGCCTGTTGGAGGGACCTTTGTCATCCCAAATCAGAAAGTTTTATTTAAACTATATGTGTCTGTTTATATACACATTTAAATGAATTAGAGGGAGGTTTTTCCGTAAGTAGTTAACAGTTATGATTATTTAGGACTTTCCAGACATCCTTACTGGTATTTTACATTTCTCCTTTCTTCTTCTGCATTTCTCTCCTTCTTTCCTCTCTATTGCTTCATGTATTTTCTTTAGGTTTGGTTTGTTGGGTATAATTTTTTTAGGCTGCTTATATCATGGTTAAGTTTTCCTTTTGCCTTCAATTCCTTAGCAGATAGTTTTGCTGGGTATATTGGTCTAGGCTGGCCATGGTTAGCAGTTTTGCTGAGTTATATTAGTCTAGGCTGACTGTTGTAGTATTTTAGGACTTGGAAGGCATCTTTTGACTTTCAAAGTTTTCATTGAGAAATCAGCTGTTACCCTGAGGGTTTTCTTTCATATGGCACTCGCATTTTTTTTTGTTTTTGTTTTGTTTGTTTGTTTTTCTCTTGCAGCTTTCAAGAGGAAAAAAAAATACTTTCAGTGCTGTGCTGGCTAGTTTTATGTCAACTTGACACAAGCTAGAGTCATCAGAGAGGAGGGAGCCTCAGTTGAGAGCATGCCTCCAAAAGATAGGGCTGTAGGCAAGCCTATAGGGCATTTTCTTAACTAGTGACTGGTAGGAGAAGGCCCAGTCCACTGTGGGTGGTGCCATCCCTGGGCTGGTGGTTCTGGGTTCTAAAAGAAAGCAGGCTGAGCAAGCCATGGGAAGCAAGCCAGTAAGCAGCACCCCTCCATGGCCTCTGCATCAGCTCCTGCCTCCAGGTTCCTGCCCTGCTTGAGTTCCTGTCCTGACTTCTTTTGATGACTAATGGTGCTGTGGAAGTGTAAGCCCAGTAAGCCCTTTTTCTCCTGGAGTTGCTTTTGGTCATGGTGTTTCACCATAGCATAGAAACTCTAACTAGGACAAATAAACTTTCTTTGTTATGTATGTGAAGTGTTCTCACTGTGATATGTCATGGAGATTTTCTTTTTCCTGTCTTGTCTGCTTCATGTTCTGTGTCCTTCTTGGATCTGCATGGGCATGTCTTCTCTTAGTTTGGGGACTTTTTTGCCTATGGTTTTCTTGAAGATCTGGTCTGTGTCACTGACTTGAGGTTCTTCTCCCTCATCTAGGCTTGGTTTTTTCGTCCTGTCCCACATTTCCTGTACGTTCCTTTCCTGTGTTTTGTTTTGTTGTTTTAATTCCTATCCCTTGCTTATTTGGTCTAGGTTCTCTCTTTCATCTCTGAATATATATTCTATTTTCTACTTGATTAATTCTGCTTGTAGGACCTTTCCTTTGAGATTCCTGGTTGTTACTGGGTTTTTCAACTCCGTCTCCATTTCATCTTGAGTCCTCTGCAGTGTTTGTATTGTCTGATTGAATTCCATTCCCAAGTCTTTGTCATTTTCACCAGCCCCACAGGTTTTTTTTTTTCTTTTTGTCGGCGTGGGGAGCATCACTCAGACATTAGTTCTCCTTGATTTAATTGAGTTGTTACTTAGTGTCTTCTTTACTCTCCTTGAATTCTTTGATGAAATGTATTGTTGTTCATTTAAATTCTGTGTCCCGGGGCTTATCTAGGTAATTCTCCTTGGCTGAGCACAAGCTATAGCGATCCGCTCCCTCCAGCTATGTGCAACTGTTTCCAATTAGTCTGTTTCTATTTTGAATGCACTCGTGGGTCAGAACCCCCACGGTCTAATCCACCCTGGGATGGCCCTCACAGATACACTGGGAGGCTTGGTTTCTCAATCTCCTGTGAGTCTCTCAATCTCCAGGTCTGAAGTCGAGATTAACCATCATGATGCTTCCTCAAGCTGGCCTGCTGGAGGCTCAGGCTGGTCTTGGACATTTCTCCAAAGGCTGTTCTAGAAGGCTTTCTTTCTGTGTGTGGCTGTCCCTTTGTTTTTATTACCTCCTGTGGGCAACAGCAGCTCTGAAAACCACATGGACATTTTTTTTTTTTTTTTTGTGGCGCTGATGATGCAGGTACAGATCTCTGACCACTCAAGTGGAGGGGAACTGTGGTCTGTGAACAGTCCCCTGCCACGGTTCTGTATCAATGTACACCCCATCCAGCCCCCCACCCACCCATCTCAGTGTCCAGTCGCAGCTGCTGTTGTGTCCTTGAGTTCCTAATGACGGACCTGTGACCTCACCTGGACAGGTGTGTGTTAAAGGTACTCCATGGCACTGGCTGTCTTTTTAGTGAGTGGTCTAGGCCCAACCCTGAGCCCTGTGGCAGGTGGGCAGGCTCCCTCTTTGGTCCTTTGCTCTTGGGTCTGCCCGGCTCTCCCAGTGCAACACCTTAATTTAGGGATGGGCTTTATGGTGCAAAGCCGTACTGGGGAGCTGTCTTCTTACAGAAGGTATTTCACATTCCAGTTGAGATCCCCAACATAGAGCCATGTTGCATGTATCATACATTACTCATTACCATATCAAAACCTTAATGAGCAGGATCATTCAAAATCCACTAAGAGACCTATAAACTTTGTTTCCTCTAGATTTTTTTCAGATTTTAGTGTCATCTTGGGAAAACCCTAGCTTAGAATGTCCTCATTCTCCCCTTTTGAGTCTACATTTCTGGGATGGGGGATGGAGGGCTTTTAAAAATATACTTCATTTGGTACAATTTAGGTTGAGATTGGTAGGTTTGGATCTAGAGGTAGAAAACGGTCAATGATAGAACAGAGGGTTCCCCAACACACACACACACACACACACACCACATGCACACACACACCACATGCACACACACACACTTCCTCCTGTGATATTATCATGGTCAACAAACCTATACATTCCTCACTGAAACCTTCCCGTTATTCAGACTTCCTTTACTTTAACCCAGAATCCTACCTTACCTTCCAGGGTCAGAGTCACTCACACTTGCATGGTTTCAAGGAAGACACTGGCAGTTTTGAGGATGATTGGCAAGACTGGTGAGGATTCTCTAGAATATTTCTGAACCACTGTGTGCAGCGTTCTTCCCCCTGTAAGACTGGGGTTGTAAGTTTAAGGAGAGAGCCACGAGGCAAAGTGTCAATCTCCCCCAACCCAGTCAGGGGTGCACACTGTCACCTTGCCTGACCTCTGTGACACCCACAGTGTGTCTCCAGCAGAGACAGTGTGACATCACCCTGCCTGCCACCCTGCTCCCTGTACCCCTGGGCAGGTGGTCTCTGTGTGCAGCCCACCTGAGTCTGAATTGTGCTCCATCTACCCAGGGGAAGTAGCTACAGAGGCCAGCAGAACTTTCTCACACAAGATATGTGTCTTTTCTCTTTTTTTTTTATTTTGAGACAGGGTCTCTCTGTGTAGCTTAGCCTGATCTAGAAGTCACTGCCCTCCTGACTGTCTCCCCAAGCAGTGGTGTGCCAGCATGGACTGTCCCCAGCTTGAGATTTGTGTCAGATTCCCTTCAGCTGTTTATCTGTTTAGTATTTTTTTTTTGGTAGCTGCAAGGGCATTAGTTTTGTATTTGGGGGGGTCACAGTTCAACAGCTGCTCAGAGCGCTCAGATGTTGGCTCATTCAACTTTTGGGTGGCTTTGCACATCGCTAATGCAAGTGGATTGTTTTGAGCATGTCCCTGTTTTGTGGCACCATGGGGTTTTCCATGCATCTCAGAACCCCCTTTTGTCTCTGTTAGAATCAGCCACGTATCCTATACCTGCTGGTTTATTAAACTGGACCACGTTAGTTATTGGACTGAGGATCTGGGCATGGCATGTATTTTGTATAGAGTCCCATTCCCTCCGTATCCTCTCAGCTGGTGTACAAGGAGCACACGCACACATACCAACCAGTGTGTGTGCCAGCATGTCACCTAGAAATGCTTCCCATCTGCTTCTATAGTAAGCTGAACCTGAGTTTCTACTTAAGTTCCCAGTTCTGTTCTGTTATCCCGGGATCTCCAGCCTCTTTGCCTTGCTTATCTTTAGGGGTGCCTTGAGTTCAGTGCAGATGAGGAAGTGATGAATGAGAAAGATCAGCACAGTTTCTTGAGCAGCCATGTGCTTATGTGCACACATGTAAAGGCCACCAGGGCCCTTAGGGTCTCCCGATCTGTCACTTCCCACTCCGTTCCCTTGAGATGGGGTCGTTCACCGAACCGAGTTCCTCACTTGATGACGAGGCTTGTGACCAGGGAAGCTGAGGTTCCCTTTTGGGGTGCTTAGTCTCATCAACGACATAATTTAGAAATAGACTCACAAAGCAAAGGACAGTTTCCTTAGAGCCTAAGAGAAGCTGCTGGGAAAAAGAGACTGAGAGAAAGCCCTGTCATTTCTGTGAGGCATGGAAAAGAAACAGCTTATTAAGAAAGAAAAGGGTATCCCCAAGAATGGGTTTTCCTACTGATAGGAGAAAAGTACCCCCAAAGTATCCAGCCAGGTGGCAGTATATTATCTTTCACAGCCTTTGTAGGTCATAGGCTGTGTGTCGAGCATGCACGCCCTGTTCACTGGATGATGCCACTGGAAAGAAGGGCTTCGACTCTTCCACACACTGCCTTCTTTCACGTGCTAGTCTTGAGGTAGCTGTTTTCGTTTCAGCTCTCCTATCCCCCCAGACTGGCTGGACAGCCATCCCCAGGGATCCCCCTCCAGTGCTGGGGTTACCGGTGGGGACAGGCTTCTAATGTAGGTATTGGGGACTCCAGGCTCAGGTTCTTATGTTTGTGTGTCAAGTGTTCTTGCCCACTGAGCCATCTCCCCAGCTCCCATTGTCTTTTATATCTTTGATTATTATAATTATGGACTACCTGCCTATGGAGAGCCCAGTCTAGAAGAATGGATCAAAACACTGACCATTGCATAATCTCACTTGAAGGTAAGGAGAGAAACTGACAGGTGTCATAGAATTCTGATATGACACCTAACTAGAAAGAGTCCTGGTAAAGAGTGGTTGGACATTACTATGTATATTTGGCTCAGTGCCTGGAACCCTGAGCCTGTGTGGACCTTGGGTCATGTGGATGTGAGTGGGGACTCTCATATGAAATGATGCTGACTGGTGGTGTACAGGCTCTATGGTGAGTCCCTAGCTCCTGAAAACCCCTGACAGAACAGCCTACTGTGGCTGCACTCACCAGTTTCTGACTTAGTAGATCTGGGTTGGAGATTAACAAAACACTGGACAAAAGCAACTCAAGGAAGAGAGATTGTATTTTGGCTCATAGTTCAAGGGTGCAGTCTATGATGGGGTTGCAGGCGTAGCAACCAAAGTCACATCACATCCACAGTCAGGAAGTAGAGAGTGAATGCTGGTGCTAATTCTCTTTCTTTGTCCAGTCCAGACTCTGGGTTCATTGAGCGGCACTGCCCACAGTTGGGATCTTCCTACCTCCATTAACCTAATCTAGATAATCGCTCACAGGATGCCAGAAGCTTGTCGGCTAGGGATGGTGGGTCCTGTCAAATTGATCTCACAGGTTCTCAGGGGTGGCGGCTGCGGCTGCTGCTTGCAGCTGCTGCTGTTCCAGAGTGAGAGAGCACCATGGGGCACACATCAGAGAGAGAAAAGAGGAGATAGCTGAGGACTCAGAGACGTCATGGGAGCTCTGGAAAGCACCAGGCACAGAAGCTGAGCACAGGGGGCAGCTGGAGTTTAGAGCAGTGGTGAGTGGGGGTTGGCAAGGGAGCTTGATTAGGAGGGAGAAACATGGCCTGGTTTGAGAAGGCCATGAGATAAGGGGGAGATAACAGTGCCCTTTTCTGTCCCTTCCCCAGCTTTGCTGTGAAGATGTTTGGGGGGCGGAGCCTGCAGATGAGTTGGCTCTGGCAGACATTCCCATCAGCCTTCTGTGAGCGTGCTACATGTCTTGCATGGTGGGCCGTTTGTCTCTTTCAACTCTTTCTTGCCCTCGAGTCCATTCCTGTCCCACCACAGGGCCCAGCCCTTTGCATAAATTCAGTTGCGCCTAATAAATATCTTGTCCTACAAACATTTCGAATTACTTGAATCAGGCTTGTAATTGACCAGACACCCCCCTTAAAATAGTCTGTTTTCCTAGGACTTGACATTCACATTAGGAAAACAAAGACTTTTCCTTTTTTCTTCTTTCATGGTGCCTTGTGATTCTCTTAGCAAATTCCTATTGTAAGTTTGCAGCTGTGCAGTGCTTACAAAAATCATATTCAGGCCATCCTGTGCGTGCACGCGCGCGCAAAAGCCCCGATGGACTCACACAATATTGGCATTTTTCTTGTGTCCTGTTGTTGTTGCTATTGGAAGCGTGGTTTTGTGTATAGTTCAAAGTCTATATACTCAACAGGAAACAATACAGAAGTGGTAAATCAGATGGGAATCTGACTTCCTTTGAAGTTGCTTATGTGGAAGGGGCAGAGGCAGGGGCAGGGGCAGAGGTAGGGGCAGAGGCTGACCTGTCCCATGCCCAGTGCCGTGGGAAGCCTCATTGTCTAGGGGGCAAGTGGAGAGCATGGACAAGCCAGAGAGGAAGCCAGACAGTTCAAGCCCTCCCAGCTGCTCCAAGGGAGGCTGTAAACAGGAAGAGGAGCCGGGTGCTGAAGCTGGGGAGGGGAGGCAAGTCTTGGGAACAACAGCTAAGATGGGGTAGGGCAGTGGCCTGGGACAGGCCGCGGAGGATGCAGGAAGTTGCTCTACCCCAGGCCAGAGCCTATAGAGGGTGTGGGTGTGGGAACTCGGGTCTCTGTGGATTCAGTTGAGCTCTACTTGTCTGCATTTGGTAACCCACCCGGGCTGGTGATGTTCCATCTTGTATGGTGATGGGCCATACTGTACAGCTCATGACCAAGCAGGGCTCTGGTGTTTGCTTCTTGCCAAGGTCCCACCTGCTGGATGGAATGTCCTGGAAGGGCCTCTTGTCTGGTCCCCTTCTCTGCTGTTACCTTTTCTTCCCCTTGCAGACTTAAGGCAGACTTGATGGGTTGTTTTTCACGTTCTTTGACCTGACATGTGTAAATGACTCCTGCTTACCAAGCTGGCATTGTCTGTCTTCTCGATCTGCAATTCAATGTGTGTCGTGACTGTACATGGGTTTTACAAGAAGATACGAGGTTTCTGTCACCTAATATGTGACAGAGCATTGAACCCGGGCTCATTGAATTCCTCCCCGGGGAGTGCCCTACCACAGTGCTTTGCAAAAATCGGGACCCCGTGCCTATCTGACATTGTCAGCAGCAACCTTTCCCCCTGCCTCCACCCTCCAGGACCAAGAAATCAGTTAGCAGAGGCTGCTCCCTGGGGACATTTCCAGCCCTCAGCTTGAGGGGGTCTTGTTAAGGTTTGTGAACCCTTTAGGACTAGCAACCCCTCTTAATCAAAACCCAGTCACTTTGTACAGTGTGAAGTATAAACCTGTAAAACAAAATTAGGGATTTAGACAGGAAAAAAAATGCAGAGAGCTATAAAACAAGCAAGTAATTAGCAAACTATGGTCTAGGATCTCTAGACCTAAAAAAAAAAGGTTGGCATTTGAATAATAATAATAAAAATAAACTTTTGTTTTTTATTCTTTTTGCTCTTTTTTGGGGGGCCACATAAACCACACATGGAGACTTAGTCTTACTTATGAATGCCCGACTTTAGCTCAGCTTGGTTTCTAACCAGCTTTCCTTAACTTCAATTATCCCATCTACCTTTTGCCTCTGGGCTTTTCCTGTTCTCTTAATTCTGTAAATCTTACTCTTGCTCCGTGGCTTGCTGTGTAGCTGGGTGGCTGCACCTGATGTCCTCCTCCTTCTCTGGCTCTTTCTTCTCCTCCCAGTTTTCTTCTATGTATTCTCTCTGCCAGCCCCACCTTTCCTTTCTCCTGCCTTGCTATTGGCTGTTCAGTTCTTCGTTAGACCAATCAGGTGTTTTAGACAGGCAGGCACAGTAACACAGCTTCATAGAGTTAAACAAATGCACCATAAACGAAAGTAACACGCCTTAAAATAATATTTTACTACAATAAACTCAGGGTGTATGGATATGCTCTATATGAACACACCCTCAGGGTTGGAGAGGTCCATAGTCATAGTGTCCTCTTGTACCCCCAAATGCTTAGAAACCCCGAGATCCTCTTGTGCTATCGGCTTTGGCTACATTAGGGCACGTGTTTAACTCATCTCAAAGCCTCCACTTCATCCACCTAAAAGTCTCTTTATCTGTGTCAATGAGTCCTTTATACCAATGGGAAATATACTTAGTGCAGAGTAAGTTAATTGTAGCCATTGACTGCCCTGGAAAGCTGCTGGTCCATTCTTGCTGCCGCCCATTCCCTGCCCTGAACGCAGTTTGGTAGCCCTTATTCCTGAGTGATTCCAGAGTCGTGTGGCTACTTCCCCCTCCCCCAGCCACTCCCCCCTTTTCCTTGGGCTCTGCTTCTGGGATCGGGGCTCCCCATGTGTCTACCCTGTTCCCACACCACTGGTCCTTGTATCTTACCTGTCTTGTGTGTTTGCAGTTTGTGCTGGTTCCTTTTGCGTCCCAGATACTTTCTCTCTCAAGGGTACCTGGTGTCGCATCCAGTTAGCAGCTGGCCCTGACTGAAGTTTGCACACAGGCACCCAGTGAGTCTTGGCTGACTGAACGTGAGGAAAAGTGTAAATGTGTAAACTGATCTGACACCAACTGCAGAACATGGTGGCATCATGGGAGTCTTCTTAGAGCAGTGGTTCTCAACTTGTGGGTCATGACCCCTTCGGGGGTTGCATATCAGATATCCTGCATATCAGATATTTACATTGCAATTCATAACAGTAGCAAACTTATAGTTATGAAGTAGCAACTGTGGTGATATTGTGTCCCCCAATATATTCTGTACCCTAATAAACTTATCTGGGGTCAGAGAACAGAACAGCCTCTAGATAAACATAGAAGCCAGACAATGGTGGCACACACACCTTTAATCCTATCACTCTGGAGGCAGAGATCCATCTGGATCTCTGTGACTTTAAGGCCACACTGGAAACAGCCAGGCATGGTGACACACGCCCTTAATCCCAGGACTTCAGATCTTGTGTCTTGCTTGGGAAAGACACATGCCTTTAATCCCAGAAAGTGATGGCAGAAAGCAGAAAGGTATATAAGGCATGAGGAACAGGACTAGAGGCTTTTAGGCTTTTAAGCTTTTACGCTGTTAGCAGCAGTTCAGCTGAGATCCACTCAGGACTTAGAGGCTTCCAGCTTGAGGAAACAGGATTGGCTGAGAAGTTGGCGAGGTGAGATTAGCTGTGACTTGTTCTGTCTCTCTGATCTTTCAGAATTTACCTCAATACCTGGCTCCCAAGTTTTTTCCATTAATAATACCATCTAGGGTTTGTGTTACAAGCAACCATATAATTTTATGGTTGGGAGTCATCACAACAAGAGGAATGGTATTGAAGGGTCACAGCCTTAGGAGGGTTGAGAACCATTGTCTTAGAGTGATGAAACCATGTTGGACATGAGACATCACAGGCAAGAAGGAAGACATCTGTATGATCCCTCCTCATCTCATCCTTCCATGGACTGGGATTGTCAACCCCTTCGCACACACGTGCAGACTGAAGTCCACACGGGTTAAGGACTGTTTATGGTACTGTTTATGGGTGATAGTTTGGAAACATTAGTTCTGTCCTAACCCAAAGCACACAGGCTTCCGCCCCAATGCTAAGCTCTCTCTTCCTCCTGATTGGACTGTGTGATGGTCAATCTTTGTAACTGGACAGGATCTGGAGCCACCCAGGAGACACACCTCTGGGTGTGGCTTTGAGGGTGTTTCCAGTGAGGTTTTGATTACAGAGACCGAAGTCCCAAATCAGGTCAGAAGATCTGTGGTTAGAAATCCCCTCAGGTGTCTGTGAATCTTTCTGGGATGCTGGGGCTACTGTTTGCTGACAGTGGTATCTTATTTCTTTCCTGCACATGTCTTTGTCATTGTGTGCACAGCGCTAAGGGGTGAGAGGATACAGCCCTTGCTCTCTGCTCTCACTTGGGGGATGCAGGTCTTCCTGTCTGACTGCCTCATTCACAGTGGGATTTAGATGAGGAAGGAGACGTGCCATACCTCTGCATCAGTGTTCATCTTAAGATGAGAAGCGGCGACTGTTCAGATGGCTAGAGGTTGTTTTAATGGGATGCTATTCAGCTCCAAGCTTGGCAAGCATGAGTTTGGAAAGCAGACTACTAGGATCACAAAGCACATATTGAAGTGTCATGGGTACCAAGTGCTTAAAATCAAGTGGCAAGGGCTGGAAGTGAGAATTAAGATCTCCAGATGCAGGAATGTGTTTGTGCAAACAACAGGCAATCTCGGGGGGGTGGGGGGTGGGGTGGGGGGGTGGGATGGATCTTTAGACAGGTGTTGACCTGAGAGCTTGAAGGTCCACCCTTTTCCCCTCCTCATAGTCCTCTTGGATGCCTGGCTCAGCATGGATGATCAAACAGCCAGCCTGGCTAATGCAGCGTAACCACTGTGCAACAGGCAAACCCAGGTGGGCAGGGGACACCAGCCATAGGTGGCTTGGGGTGTGACAGAGGAAATCCTGCAGTGTGGGGAGCGAGTGTCACTGACGGTCTACTGTACCCATTTGACTCCTGTAAGTGAGCCTGACTGCCAAGCATACACTCACTGTCCAGAGCTGAACGTTCTAGAAGATGGGCTTGTGTAAGAAGCACACGGGGCTGAAGGTGTGGCTGGTAGCCCAGTGGGGAAACGTCATGCCTTATGAGGGCAAGGAGGGCCTCAGAGATGGGCTTCATGGGGTCCTTCCTCTCAGATGTTTCTCCACCACAAACTGGGGAAGAGTCAGATCCAAGCAGCTGACTACCTTAACCAAAGCCGCTCTTCTGTGGTGGCTAAACTTGACCCTTCTAGAAGGCACTCTTATCAAATGCACCGCAGAGGGTTGGAGGGAAGGATGCGGGGGTGTGTGTGGTCCTTTTCCAATTCTGAGGATGAGCACCAGATTGTAAAATTACCCCACACAGACCTGAGGTGGGGACCCCTGGATGAACCTCCCCAGAGGACCTTCTCTCCATCCACAGTCATTTGCTGTCCCCTCCCCAACCATCCTGGTCCCATTATAACCGGGAGGTGCGATTGATTCTCAACTGTGTTTCTGTGGAAGCCACAGGAAGGAAGTCTTGAGTGTGCACGTTTCTCGTTTCAGACTGTTCTGCGATGACCACAGCGAGGTACCGGCCCACCTGGGACCTGGCCCTCGACCCGCTGGTGTCCTGCAAGCTGTGCCTCGGGGAGTACCCAGCGGAGCAGATGACAACCATCGCCCAGTGCCAGTGTATCTTCTGTACCCTGGTTGGTCTCTCGGCTCAAGTAACGCGTTCAAGGAGGTTGTTGCTCTCACGCCCAGACACCCCAGGCCACACTGGGCACTAAATTTTTGTGGGAGCCTAAGTGTCTATTCAGACTCACACATAGGAAAGGAATTCTTCAGGCGGGTGGCCAGAGAGGAAGATTTGTGTGACCATTACTTGTGGTGTGGCGCCCAAGACGTCACTTCACCAGGATTGTAGAAACGGGCGGCGCAGCTAAAAACGCACAACACGGCACACGGTCTTCTTGTTAGACAACAGGCTTTTCCGTACCTCCTTTTCAGTTTAAATGACAAGTATGCACTTGACATGGTGGCAAGGCTAACCTGAGGGTCGTGTGCGGCTATAACATGTGACCACTAGTGCCATCTTTCCCCGCAAAATACTGAATGACAGTGTCTACCGCTTGAGGTCAATTTTCTTATAATTTCTTGGGCTCTAGTGATTTATTCTCAACAGGAATATAGAGACTCCT